TTGTATTGCCTCCACTCTTTCCTACTCTCATCATTATAGTAGTTAACTTGAATCCCATCCCTCCATGCTGCTCAGTATGGTTTCCTCCAAAACCCTCAGCAGTTTCTACTGCATCAAGCAGAATCTTTCAACCTCAAACTTCTGTAAGGACCCAATACACCATCCTTACATCTCCTCTATCACTCAGACTTAGAACACGGCATTTTGTCTACTGCTCCTCTGTCTTTTTTCAGTCGTTCTTCCCGCTTCCTTCATCAATAAAGAAGGGAAATACTGGTGCCTTCTGTACTTTTCAGTCCCTGTTCAGAAGTGCCTTCCCAAGTTCAGCCAGTTTTCTTCAAGCCTTTTAAGCTTTCTTTGAGGAAGCAGCAGAGGACAGATCCCCTAAAAAAAAATCCTTTTGCTGCTGAAACGGATCTCTCCAAAGTATTTATTAGTAGAAAGGTCTGAAACCTGAAAGTAAGACTGACCTCTTGTAAGAAAGCTGAAAGTAAAAATACATTCAACCTTCTTCTTCAAAGTTTTAAATTCTTCCTAACTTGCCTAGATTCTCTGAAATCTAAAAGCATGTTTAGAGATAAGTGTACTTTGACAAACACATGCTCAATGACTATTTGTTCGCAGTAGCATCCAATGATTTTAAGCAGGGATTGAGGAATTATTGTATTAGGTCCTGAACACACGCTGGAGAAAATATAGCTCCTACCTTAAACTTACAATCTAAAAACATGAAAAGACAACACACAAAAGTAAAACACATGATTAACAATGAAATAATGGATTAACTTAATGAAAAGTTATAGCAGACCATCTACCTAGTCACTTCAAAGTGTTCTAGGAGCGTGCTGTGACAGCTATTTAAGGAGTGATCTAAAGAACGATGTACATTGCTTTGTAAGCTTTTCAGGAAAGCGCCTTTCAAAAATAAGGGGTACTATGAGAGAAAGTTTAAAGGTATTTAAAGAAAAAAATTGAAATTAGGGACAAAAAAGCCACACAGTGTTAGCAGAGCAGTGGCAGGATTAAAGACTTAAGTATTAAATAAAAGTCTATAGGTATAGTGGAGTGAAAACAAATACTTTGTTTGATGAAAAGGGGGTAACCAGCAAAGAAACAATATAGGAGGCAAATCTTGCCCTCAAATACATTCCTGCAGCTTTCATTAAGAGGGGATATGATTCTGTGATCTTTTTATATTCTATCTACATTGAGTAACATTTAAATACTCACTTCATCAGTAAGAAACTCCTTACTCAGGCCGAAGTCTGTCAACACCACATGGCCATTAGAATCAAGAAGAATGTTCTCAAGTTTTATATCCCGATATATAATTCCCAACTGCAAATAAAATAAGACCAGTATTTCCAAATCAGTGTCAAAATACAAACATACAATTTAAAAATATGCTTCTAAATTTGAATTTAGCAAAGCTGATTACAAATCTCCGATATAACCTATGTAAAACAGTCTAAACCTTAACAATTACTGATCCACAACTTAAAGACAAAACACATTGCACATATGTGGTACAGTATTTGATATATGCATAATTCACTAAACTGCATTAATAACACCAGTCCAAATTTTTGTCTACTGTTTACATTAACAAACATTGGATATCTGCATATCAGTTAAATGCATAAGCAACTTAATGTATAGCATTTTTCAGCTCCACTGTTTACTTTACTTTGTAAAGTAATTGTACTACAGTTAACTATATCTCAACCGGAATCAGTAATGGTAAAGAAAAAGCAACTTTCAAAGGGCTGCAATTAGAAGCCCTGAAAGTAAGAGGAACTAGTCAGTTTTCAAGCTTCTATTAGAAGCCCTGAAAAGGATGGAAGCTAGTCATTTAAAGGGGTATCTCCCTTAATTTTCAAGGCTTCAGACAGCAATCACAAAATTTACTAGCTACCATCCAAGGCTTCTAATGTCACTCTTGAAACGAAATCTTGGATTCCTTAAATGCTAGAAGCACTGACCACGTGGTCTACTCAATAAGTGTAGTTAAGATGCAATTTTAGATAACTTCATACTCTGGGCAGTTGTTGCAAACTCTTTTTCAATCCTAAAACAATGCACTTAAATTAATTAACTGAAATTAACCCCCCAAACCAGCAGTAAAATAGCCAGATTAGATAAAATAAAAACATAGATAATATTGATAATATAGCTAATCTTGTTAGCTAGAGCAGAGTTCTTAATTGATATACATCTTGATTTCCTACATTTTAGTGCTTATTTTTGGAGATAGCTGGAACATCCTGGTAATATTTTTACCTTAAAATTACTGATAAGCAATCAACCTTAGTTTTGTTTTTACAACTTTAATTGGAAATTTCCTTTTTTTCTTTAAAATAGAAAATTCATACACAAGCACTAAACACCACATCAAGGTAAAAAATATCACCAAGCAATATTTCTAAAAACTTTATATTTTATGACAAATTAACCAACATATCCTTGGGGTGATGTATCCACTGCAAAGAAACAGTACAAGAGTATATGTGCCAATTTCCCCCGCCCCATCTCCTTACCTCCACATTAACTTGCTTAATTTTTACACATTTCTATACATGTATGTTTCTTCTTCCTTCCTGATCCTTACAGTACTTTGTTTCCACATACCCTGTTTCCCTCTTCCATCCCATCTCCCAAATGTTCATGTACATAATCAACCTGTGTTCCCCTTCACAGACTTTCTGTTCAGTAAATCTGGTACAAGGTATATATTTTGAAAATGAATGTTAGAATTAATAGCATTTTTTCTATTTATTTTTATAACTGAAAGTTTACTCTCTAGCAGAAGCCAAAAATGTTCTTTTGCTGAAGACCTGCCCACTTTCAAAATATATGCTAGTATTATTGTTCATGGCTAATAAGATAGACTTGGTCTAAAAAATATGCTTCTTTCAAAACAGCTACTACTTCCTATTGTTCCCAGAGAGAATAAAGCCAAATTGCTCTTCATACAAATAATAAAGGTTACCAGCCACTGTTCTCCCCAAGAGCAGCTAGCTCCACAAAGGCAGAAAGTGGCCATTTTGAAAGAGGGCATCTTAAAATCATAATACCATAAAGGAAGTAGGGCAGGAAGGGATCTCACAAGGTCATCTAGTACAACCCCCTGCTCAAGGCACAAGCATCCCTGACTAAATCATCCAAGTCGTGTCTGCCCAACCTGCTCTTTAAAATATAAAGGGACAATGAATCCAAAACTTATTTAGGTAGCTTGTTGCAATGCTTGACCACCCCCAGTCAGAAAGTTCCTCCTAATCCCTAACTGCAGCCTGAGGCCATTGGTCCTAGTTCTGTCCATGCAGCCACAGAGAAAAGCCCATTTCCTGTCAGGTATTTGAAGACTGTTATCAAACACTTTCAGCTTTTTCCACAGACTAAATAGCCCTAGCTCTTTCAGCCTTTCCTCATAAGTGGAGATGCAGGTTTTCCATTCACTGCAGAAAAACACAGATTTTCTCCTTTAGAGAAGAAAAGTACAGATTCATCCTTTTAAAGGAGAAAAATGTGGGAAACCACTGGTTTCTCCTTGCAGGCTAGCACAGTTCTTACTGGCAAAGAGCTGCTTGGAACTGGCGTGGGGAGTGGGGAAGCGTGATCAGAGGCAGGAGGCATCACATGCATGTGACAGCCAAGCAGCAGTGGCAAGGAGCTCCTGCAGCTCCTTCCAGGTAACTCTACGGGAGTGTGGGGAGAGGGGACATTGGCAATGTGTTGGGGGGTGGAGAGAGGGGAGGGAGCACAGGCAACACATTGCTGGGTAAGAAGCCACGGGCAATGCAGTGGAGGGGGCCCAAGGCAATGTGGGGGCTGAAGGCAATGCAGTGGAGGGGGCCCAAAGGGGGAGTATGTGCCCACCAGCAGGGCTGGGGAGCAGCAGGTCGGGAGCAAGGGGCAGCAAAGGCCATGGGGCTGTGGGCTGGGAGCGAAGGGCAAGGGCAGGGCTGTGGCTTGGCAGTGAGGGGCACTTGCATGGGCTGGGGTAGGGCACCAGTATATCAGGGCTGTTCAGCAGCACAAACCAGTAGGGTGGGATGGCTGCAGCTGGTCCCACATCCTGGTGAGCAAAGGGGCCAGAGGGAGCTCCAATTCTTTATGATAAAAAAACCAAAATCAAATGCCAAAATATATAGCTATTTAGAATTTATTTTACTATAATGATTGAGGCACTGGTAGGCTTCCAAACTGCTTTAAAGTGGTAAATATATCAATAAAACAGTGTGTTTAGCCTATATAGTGGTGTTTCATTTTAATAGTGAAAAAACATGGATTTGGGGTTTCTTAATCACAGAATTGGAGCAGGGGGGTTATCATAGAACTTGGAATTTTTAAAACAGAGAAAACCAGGATCCCTGCTCTTACATAATGCATCCCAGGCCCCTTAATCATTGTTGTCACTCTGCTGGACTCTTTCAAATATGCCAACATGCTTCTTGAAGTGTGGGACCTGCAACTGTATACAGTACTCACCAGTACCAAATAAGAGTGGAAGAATCACTTCACTCGATTTGAAAGTGACACTCCTGTTGATACAATCCAGTAAGCTGCTGCCAAATTTAGCAACAGGAACATACTGTTAGCTCATATGTAGCTTATGGTCTCATAACCCACAGCTCCTTCTCTGCAGCCTAGCCTGGGGAATGACTGGCTATTTTTGTGAATGCAATTATTTCATCCCAAGTGCGCAATTTTGCAGTTGTCCTTGCTGAATTCCATCTGTGTTTGATTTCATTTGATTGCAGATCATTTTTCTAATCTATCCAGGTCATGTTTACCCTAGCCCTACCCTTGAGAGCATCTGTAACAATAACCATCTTGGTGTCATGAGCAAATTTGCTAAGCATGCACTTAATCCCATTTTAACAGGGAGCCAGGAGCTCCTGTTACTTGAAGAGAAACAGCAGTACAGATGCCCCCAGCTGGGGGAGGGAAGCCAGCTAATTCTGGGCTGGCTAGAGGAGTAGGCAGCCAGGGGCCCATAGCAGTAGGATAGTAGGGCAGCCAGCTACCTAGCAATAGGATAGTAGGGCAGTATCCTAGCTAGGCAGCAAGGCACTGCTATGATAGTTAGAGAAATAGCAGTAAGCTGCTCTGGAGGCTGAGGGGGCATACCTGTCAAGGGATCACCTGACTGGAAGAAGAGCCAGAGGATTATAAACCTGGGCCCCTGAGGCAGAGGGGCAGTACAACTCTAAATCTGCTGAGGAAGGGAGTTCCTGCCAGCTCAGGCTGGTGATGATTAGGAAATGCAGACATGCCAGGTATTACCAGTGCTGTGCCCAAAAACAAGGAAGTGACTTGGCAGCAGTATGATGACCCAGAGGAGACTTTGAGTTTAAAGCAGCTGCTTGTATTCTTGTTCTAGTTTAGAACAGAAGGCTGGATGTGGTGAGGGGTGGACTGGAGGCTATGGGGGTGCTGCAGGGACACCCAGCACAGTGCCTTTCTGGGGTCTGGGATGCCAGGTGGGCTGAGCTATATCAAAAGCAACCTTGCCTGGGTCACGGACACTGGGAGGGGTAACCTGGAACAAATGCAGCTTTGCCCTGGGTCAGGGATGCCAGGGGTGCTGGGATAAGGTGAAAGATGGGGCTGAGGGGCCCAGAGCCTCAGAGGGCTAAGGCCAGGAGAGCTGAGGCTAAATCAGTGAGCCAGGGCTAGAAGTGTGCAGCCAAAATAAAGGGAAACTAATGCTGAAGTCTCTACAAGAGGACTAAACTGTGGACAGAGTAACATCTGTAAGGCATAGGAGTAGCTATAGGGGCAGAAAGAAGCCATGACTTTAGCTCCCCCTTAAGGCAACTTGGGTCAGCAAGGTTAGAAGCCCCAAGGCAAGAGAGGGGGGCCAAAGGGGAGAGTCAGAACCCAAGGTTTAGAGCTTGTGAGCACCTGAGGGATCCCCCTCATTACCTTTAACACCAACATGTGGCAGGCGATAAGTAGGGCAAGAACCTGAGAGGCTGGAGTAGGAACTGCACAGCATTGAGGTAGTCACTACAGAAAACCATGGCTATCCCCCAGCACCTTCCTGTTATACCCATCATCCAAATCACTAATGAGCTCTACCTGGGATCTCTTGGGCATATATTAACAACCTTTTACAGAAGCTGGACACTACCTACCATGGTTCCCCTGCTCCACCTGTGGCAGGTTAGATTTTATGTCTTGTATTGTGTCAGGGTTGATGGTAGTTTTACAGAGGTTAGAGTACAGGTTTGTATGGGATGGTTTGGATAAGGATAATACTGCCTCAGAAAGGGGGTTGGACTAGATGGCCTCTGGAGGTCTCTTCCAGCCCTATTTCTCTATGATTCTATGTT